AACACACACACACATATATATATATATATATCTATATATATTAAGTATATATAAAACACATACATACATACGTACATCCTGGTACAGCACGTGTTCCTGGATCGCGCACGTGTTTCATTTGCAATCATGTCTGTTGAAATTTTATTTTTAATTCTAATTCTATGTTTGTTTCTTTGCGTGTATTGAGGCTCACTTCGTTTGCTTGTAGGAATAAGTTGGAGATTATGTTGAGGAGTGTTCGATTTATTAGCGTTTCGCCTTTGTTGTCTAACTAGTACAAATTAGACAATTTACGACCTGCAGAAATAATTTTATTAAATTAAACAAAACCAACAGCAACTGTAACTATCTAATGTAAACGGAAATGAAAGAATAAGAGTAAGGTAAAGCAAAGAAGTATTAATTAAATTCAAACATAGATATAAAAATTATAATATATTTTTTAATAAATAATAACGATGAAATATTAAGTCCTCTACAAATAGGTAATATATATTAGGTATATAAGCGAAAAATTTCAAACGGCAAACAAGACCATGATGGCCAAGTTCATCCGCCTCCGCGCCGCACCTGCATGTATATCGACTCTGAACGGCCAACTCCAGACGGAAGCCAATGGCTGTCCTGACCGTATCGTCGTCCAATCTGGTACCCACCGACGTATTGGGCAAAGATCTCAGCCAGCTACAACTCGCTTCGCTGGATACTGCCAGCAAGCGAGCTGAGGTCGCCGAGTCAGGGCTTGAGGAAAGCAACTCTTTGAATGTGTGTTTATGTGCTTCCTCCAAAATGTTGCCCTGGGAAAGGTCTGTTGGTTGGATTGGAGTCGGTGGAGTACAGTGTAGGCTACTAAATTGCCGAAGAAGGGCAGACTGTAGGTCGAGCGTGGCAGATGCGAAAGATTTATAAACAATTGGTGCAAGCTGAACCACGCTTAGTAACCCCAGTCTCCCAAATCGTACCGGCAGCTGAGCCTGAGACCAACCCTTGTCGGTAATATCGACGTTACAAATTGCTGAGAGGGCCACCCGCAGAGCACCCTCAAATTCGCCCAAAATGGCCGCATTAACAAAGTTGGATGTGCGCAAAAAATACATCAATTTCGGCAAACTGAGGGCGCCGCGGATGATTGTCAGCGCATCGTGGACCGGGAAAAGAGAGACACGTTCGAGGGCAAATCTTAGCTCAAAAAGTTTTTTATTAAAAAACCTGTCCTGATGATCGCCGGCCATCATTGGAGTGCCTAAAAAATTTAATGATGAATGGGGCACTGTGGGGACATTAGCCAGCACGTGTGGCATTTGAAACGTGTCATTTACAAGTAGTTCACACTTGTTTGTGTTTAATTCAAGATCAATGGAAGCGCCGACCCTCAGCGACAGGAAGTCGTCCGCTAAGATGTTACCCTCTGCGGCCAAGCTGACATCGTCCAGGTAGCCACAAACAAACGCCGAGGATGTCTTCGTCAACAGCGGGTGAAGGGTTAAAGCAAAAAGCATCGGTCCCAAAGGGTCGCCTTGCTGTACGCCCTCGCACGATTCAACCACCCAGGCGTCGTAACCAAGAGAAGAGACTCGGCCATATGCGGAATGACAAAAATTATAAATTTGAGGACAGTGCTGCTTAACTGCCTCTAACATTGAGTCTCTTCTCAAGGTGTTGAAAGCGTTCTTGAAATCAATCTTCAAGAATCCCCACCGTTTTGGAAGTGCTGAAATCAGTTCACGTACGGCGTGGACGGCCGCCTCAGCACCACCTTTCACACCGACGCCCAATTGGATAGAGTTTGGCTTTGACCTGTTCCAACACTAGCGCCAGAGCGCACTTACTGGCCAGCCTCGTTCAGAAATTCCCCTCCGCGATGGGTCTGATCCCTCCATCATTTGTGCTTAAAGCCACCAGACGGCCCCCCAAAAAAAAACGGCTAACCGCGAAAGGGCAGACCCCAGATAACAACAAATTTACAAACCGGGTGAGGTTATTTAACAATTCATCGGTGGGCGTCGGACCGGAAAGTAAATTCTTTATATGCTGAGGCCTCAAGCCATCAAGGCCTCCCGATGAACCATTATTAAACGACTTTAAAGCCGTCAACACCTGGGCTGGTGAAACGCGACCATTGGACGGCTCCTGCGCGGGGAAAGCTCGCCTGTTTAATGGAGCACTGAGATGAATAGCTTTGAGTTTAGCGAGTGTCTCAGGCGAGCTCTCCGCCAGGCCTGCGGGCAAACAAGCAAGTCTGACGGCCGCCGAGAGACTGCATTGTTCAATCCGAGTGGTTACTGCACTAATCCAACTGTTTGGATTGTGCTTACGCGGTTTGGTGTTGTGGTCAGTGTTGAAGCTTGCCACAATAATCTCGACCTCGGTCGAACTGAATTCGGCCAACCGTTTAATAACGTAATTGGCTTGATTAGTCCTGCGACCGCCCCTGGTGGGCTTGAACAAAACAAATGCGAAAAAACATTGGAGCCTGCACAAATGGGCCGCGTCGCAGGGATCATCGCAAACGGCCGTCAATAAAGCCGACAATGCTTTAGATACCTTGTCTCTGCACGGTTTGGGAACGTGATCATACAGATGGGCAGTCCTCAAAACGACCGTCAGCCTGTCAAAAACATGAAAAAAATCTACTTGGGAGGGACTCTCCGAGACCGACGCCGAAGAACCGCGTGTAGCAACATGAGGGTTGATGACAGGTGCAGCGGTAAGAGGCGGTCGTGCGGAAGCAGATGAACCAGCCGGAGGCTGGTCGGCTGCCTTGAACGAACCAGGGCATTCCTGGCCCTTCACTTTGCCTCCATGTCGATATAGTTTACCGTCCAGTTTTATTTTATAATGATTTAAACAAACCGTGCATTGGTATAGGACCGGTGCCATTACGTCAACGAAATAAAATCAAAAGCGTGTAGATAAAACCGTGTGAACAGTGATAAAATAAAATAAATAAAATTGTGGTGAAAATAAAAAAGGTTAATTTAAATAAATTTAAAAATTAAAAGCAAAACTAGGAATGAAACAGAGAAAACAAAAATAAATATTAATGAGCATTGTACGGTGCAGCTGGGTAAAAGCTCACAGCTATTGTTAAAGTATGGTAAAGCTAAAATTAAAAATTTGAGACCACAAAAGTTAAAAAACCAACCGAACGGCGGGACACTAATCCGAAAAAGGGCAAAAAAGCGACAACCTATAAAAACCACACCAGAAAAACCGAAATTATTGCAACAAAAACCTTAAAAACCAGAAATATTACTAAAAATTAGCGAAATACTAAAAATGTGGAAGCCGACACCAGCTGAGCGAACGTGTATGTATGTATGTATGTATGTATGTATGTATGTATGTATGTATGTATGTATGTATGTATGTATGTATGTATGTGTGTATGTATGTATGTTTGTATGTTGGTAAACAAAAAAAATGGCGTCCAGGTCACTTGTAATAAATCAGTTCCTGTATTATTTAGAAAATAATTGGAATTTAATTGAGAATGAAACGTTTATTAATAATATATCTGTATTTTATATTCATGAGGATATTGTAAATGCAATTAAATTGCTAAAAAGTGAATTAAATAATTTTAAAATTGAAAAAAGTGAAAATTTGCAGTCGCGGGGTAACATGAAAATTGAGAAAATATTGGAATGTATATCGTTAATTAAACAGTTGAAAGAAAACAAATGTTGGGACAAATGTCCATTATTTGTTAGTTGTAATTTAAATAAAGTCCCAAAGTCTGAAAATTTGTTAACATTGAACTTTGATACTATCAAACTAGAATTAAAAGATATATTGCACAAACAACAGGTGCAATTTAACAAAGTTATTGAAACTGTTGAAAATAATAAAGCTGATATTATTTCATTAAAAAACGTTATTAAAACTGCTGATATTAATAAACCAGAAGTAAATACATTGAAAAATAAACTAAATTCTAATGTTGTAAGTGACTACAGTACTGAAATGACAAACAAGGAGGGACAAAAGAAAAATGTCAGTAGTTCTCTGTGGTCAGACATAGCAAAGTCAGAAGACAACAGTACCCCGTTCTCAACTGTAAACGGTAAAAAATCACGTCAAAATAACAACAATTGTGAGAAACAAAACAACTCAGAAGAAACCAGCTACAACCCAACAAACAACAAACAAACAGGAGAAACCAGCAACAACCCAACAAACAAACTGGAAAAAAGACAACTATGAAAATAATTGGTAAAAAAGTTTCAAATGATTGCAAACTGAAGGCAGATAAAATCTTAATGAAAAAGTCTGTGTTCTGTTTAAGCAATGTCAGCAAGTGCCACAGAAATGATGTGATGGCCTACCTAACCGACAATGGTATCCATGTTGTTTCCTGATATCCCATACTCAAACAACTCAATAAAATGGCACCAGCTTCTACAGCCGACGTCAATAACAATAATAGTCAAACTGAGAATAAAAAAACAGATGAAGAAGAATCCAGTACGTTTAGAGTTTGCATCGATAGCTCTGATTCTAAGAAAATGAAAGACCCTGACATAATGCCTCAGCCCATTATAGTACGCGAGTGGCAATTCAATAAGAAACCAGAAACAATTGTCGATCAAACAAATAAGATGGATAACATGTTGATAATGATGAGGACAGCAGTGATGATGAAGAAAAAGACAATTTAAACCCCAAGCAAACTACATGTAAAAGGTATGACAATTTTAAGACGTTGAATAATGAATATAAATTAATAAATAAAGATCTTGATAGCAGTATGTTTTTCAACTTAATGCATTTGAACATAAGAAGTTTGGTCAACAAAACCAATGAATTAGAAAGCTATTTGTCAAACAGTCACATCAAATTCAATGTAGTTGCGATAACAGAAAGCTGGTTAAACGAACGTACTGAAAGTTTGGTTGGCATGGATGAATATAGATATGTAGGCAAAAATCGTCATGACAAAAACGGTGGAGGGGTTGGTTTCTATGTCTGTAATGATTCTACCTTTCGAATAAGAGATGATTTAAATACCATTGGCTCGCCAAAGTTTGAAATGTTTGCAATAGAGATCATTAACAATTTTAAATCTAAAAATTCAATTGTGATGGTTAGTTATCGACCTCCAATATACGAAATTAAACAATATTTTAAAGAATTAGAACAAGTTTTACAAATAACTAGTAATGAAAATAAATTTGTTTATCTTTTGGGAGATCTAAATATTGACTTATCACCAGAAGTTAGCAGTATAAATAAAATTCAATTGAACCAACTTGTGACATGTTACAACCTCAAATCCATGATCACAGTTCCTACAAGAATCAGTAATACAAAAAAATCCACTATAGACATTTTGTTTACAAATCATCCAGAAAATATTATACAATGTGGTACCATTTTATGCGACCTATCAGACCACATCCCACTTTTTGCTTGCACTAATCAAAAAATAAATAATAAGACAGTTGCTGACGTTACATTTTCAAAATATTCTTATTCAACACACAGAATAAATAATTTAAATGAAGGTTTATGTAATGCCGATTGGACAAGTGTGCTGAGCTGCGATGATGTAGATGTGGCCTTCCAAAATTTCATCGACATCTTTCGGTTACATTATAAAACTTATTGTTCAGTGACCTCTAAAAGACAGGCTCAGAAGATGGCAAAAAACAAACCGTGGATAACTAAAGAATTTAAACAAATGTTAAAAAGGAAAAAAATGTTATATAAAAAATATCTAAAGCACACATCGTCAGACAACTATACAGCACTCAAATCATGCAGCAAATTATGCAACAAGATCAAGTGCCAGTTGAAAAGACAATATTATTTTAATCTTCTACAACAAAGCAATGGCGACAGCAAGAAAACATGGTCAATCATCAATTCTTTAGCGAAACGAAATAACAAAAAAACATCAACAATTCAATTAACTTAAAAGATGATCCAATGATAA